TCTTTAGTAGTTTATTGTTCAACTGCAAGGAAAACAAGAAAAGAAAAGACCAAAACAAAACACTAACAAACAATTCTAGTCAAAATTTAGGGTGTTAGAATTCTGGGAAAAAAAGTAAAATGTTTTTTCTGGTGAAGTAGAATTTTTTAAAAACTAGAATAAGGCATTTTAATTATCTTTGGATTTCACGTCAGGTTGCATTTTCAACTTACCACCTCTGTAATTCTGGAACAAACAGAATGAGCTGGCAGTATTGGAAATGATGATCCTGAGCAATCAATACCATGCAATAATTTATATTGTTTCTTTACCTCAATAAATGAATGGCTGTTATGTGTTGGTACTGGGATACAAAGATGAAAAAGAAACTGTTCCTGTTTTTAAGAGATGTATAATCTTGAAGAGGAAGAGATGAAAGCAAATCAGTACCCTGGAAATTGTCATAAGACAGGTAATAGTATGGTGGGTACTCCAGTAGTGACTAGAATTGGAAAGGTTAGGAATGATAGAAGTTGAGAATGGGGACAGGGAGTGATGATATAATACAAAGATGTAGAGGTGGAGGTAGGAAATAGTGGACTTTTTTTGGAAATAGTGAGCATGTTGGGGAAATCATGAGTGTGGGTTGGTATGAGGTATGGAGGAATGGTAAGGGAAAAGGCTGTAGTGTTAGGCAGCAGCTAGATTTAGAACCGTAAATGTTTTATTTATGAATTTGGACTTCATCTAAAGGATTTACCAGAATGTGTTCTGTGGGATGTGCTAGGATAGAAAAGGGTTTTGTATGGTCAAAAATATTTCAGTTATAACATGTGAGACAGAGTTAAGCAGATATAGTTACTGAAGATCTCTCAGACTCTTCCTGAGTAACGTTTGTTTGAGTATTTGACTACCAAAGTTGTTAGAAGAGCTGTTAGAAGAGAAGTTTATTTTTTTCAGAATGTGGTTTGGGAAACTGCACTATGCAATGGGGAATCATCAAACATTTGAAGCAGGAAATTATAGATAATTGTGTAAACTAATTTTATTCTCAACACATAGTGTGATACTCCTTATTAGGTATTGTTCAACCAGAATTTTTAATACCAATTATTTTCAAGTTTATGTACCAGATGTTCTGGGAGATTATAAAGATGCATGAGACTTCTTGTCTGGCTTTCAAAAAAAAAATCACGTGGGTTATCTGTAAATGTTAGTCATCCCTATAATTATTTGAGGTAAAAGTAATAAAAAAGGAAGTTCAGGATAAACTTTGAGGATTATGGATGTTCTGGTGGTTCTTACTCAGTGCTTATTTCTATAAACACATTATCATGTACTTCTTTTGCTTCTTTTTGGACCACAATTGTTTCTGACTAGAAACAAGCAGCTCAAAGATTATAAGAAGAAAGCTGTCAAGTTGAAACTTGGATTTTTTTGGAAAGTAGGGTTGTCTGTTGTTTTATTTGTTTCTCAAATATATTTAAGTTTTAGTAGCTTAAAGTGCAGTAATTTTTATGGATTCTTAGGATATTTCCTAAGGGTACATCCAAGAAATTTAGAGAAAAGTATTTAAGATGAAAGAGAAGTTAAAGTTGTATCTGGTGGAATAGAAAGGTCAAGTACAGAAATCTAAAAAGTGCTTCATTCAGACTTTTCACTTTTTTAACTTCCTAATGTTTTCTCTCAGTGTCAGTGGGAAAGATTTTTAAAGCAACCTTCTAAAATTAAGTTTCCTTACTACATGTTTTCTCATTGTGTAGTCATTATACTTACTAAAGACACATAGAATCAGAGTATGTAGAATGGGCTGATGCATATGCAGCATTTTGTTGCCTGTTAAATAGTAGTCAAGAGCAGTGGCCCAAATAGCCTGGGTTCAGTTGCATTAATTAGATTACCCAATTACTTAGGTTTTGTTCCCTTTACTAGCTATAGGACTCTAGGCTGGTGATAGCGAACCTTTTAGAGCTTTTGGTGATAACAAACAGCCCCCTTCACCTCCCTAAGCCTCAATCTCTATTGTCTAAATTGAGAAAATGATAGTGTATATCTCTCAAGGTTATGAGGATTAGAAGAGCTAATAAAAGTGAAGTGCTTAAAATATTGTTGACACATGCTGAGTGCTTAGTCAACTGTTGTCTTTAGGATCTCTTTATTGTACTATTTTTTTGTACGATATTTCATTGTTGAATAAAAACTACAGTAGTGGGTTTTCAGGTCTAAACAGGGTTCTTGGGAGAATAACCTGCTAGCTCTAAATAGGGTTGGGCATAAATGGACTAAGAATTTTCTGATTCATACAACTTTATAGCTAATATTTGACACATTGAAATAATAATAATGACTAACATTTCCTGAGCATATCTATGTGCTGTTAGCCAAAAAAATCTTTTTAGCTACTTGTGGTGACACATGCCTCTGGGAGACTGAATCAGGATCTGCTCAACCAGGAGAACTTAGCGAGACCTTGTCTCAAAAGAATACAAATCTGGGGATACAATTCAGTGGGAAGGCTCTGGGTCTAGTCCCCAGTACCACAGACAGACTGACAGACGCATGTGCACACACACACACACACACACACGCACACATATATACACACACACATTGTGTTAAAACACCTCAGCATAAGAATATTTTGAAGTATTAACCCTAATGTTACATGTTAGAACCACATTAACTATGATTCTTTTTTTTTAAGTTCTTTTTTTTTATTCATAAAATGTTTTTTTGGTACCGGGGATCGAACTCAGGCCTTGGATTTGCAAAGCAGGAGGCAGAACCAGAGCTGAATCCCCAGCCCCAGCTATGAGTCTTTTGTTCTGTGGAAATATAAGATTATGGGTTTGATTTAGTAAGGCATCTGGATGCATGTATACATTGTCTAGAGCATTTTTTCACTTTATAATTCAGCTACATATTTTCAGGGTAGTATAAGTTATGCTACTTTACATGCATTTTGTGAACTTAACTGCTTTTTCTATCCTTGTGAGTGTTAGAATAATGAAGATTGTATCAAATCAACCTATGAAATGCATTCTTTGTAGAATTGAGAATGAAGAACATTGTGACAGATTTTTTTGCACTTTTACTATAAAGAGTAGATTACTCTAAAAATAAATCACTGTATTTGCTATACTTGTTGGTACTGATGTAGCACTGTGTCAGCTCTAAAAACGAATGAATGAAGAAAGAAAAATTTAAATTTAAAAACTGGGCAAAACTAATTAGCCACTAGATGGAGCTCTGACTATTTGGGTAGAAAAAAAGGCAATGCAATCAAAACATTAAATTACCCAGTCATATCATGCTGGAGGGCCCCCGGTGTTTGCAGCCTCAGCTTTTAATTGTAGAATGCATCTTTGTTCTTTGCCTGACCTGTAGGGTGACATCACTGCCTTTCTTCCTGTGCACTGGCTTTGACACAAGCCAGATGGCCACAGTGATCGGTAGGCGCCCAGGCTGCCTGGTACAGCAGTTGATGAAACAGAATAGGAAGACGTTTTATAGTTAGCTGCAGGAGCACAATGGGGCTGCAGCCTTCCTAAGCAGTTACATTTACCGTGCACACTTTATTCCTCACAGAGAAGCCTCTCTCGAAAAAATACATTTTTGTTTATAGTGCTGTGAGGTATAGATCTTTGATCTTTTATTAGTCAGTAGTCTGCTCCAAAAGCATGCTCTCTTTCCCCTGCTCTGCAGTCACTCATGAAAATGACATGTTTATTTATGTTTAATGGTTCTTTCAGGCTGTGCATTGTGATACTTACCTTCCCTCTTCCTCCTCTTTGTCTCCAGTTAGTAACACAAAAATGTTTTAGTTTTGTAGTGAGTTTAGTTTAGAGAAGTCAGAGTTCAGGCATGTTAATACAAGCAGATTTCTGTCAGATATACTCCAGAGTGATTTGGTAAAATATATTACTGCTTATTATGTGTTTGTTCTTCAAGGAGGTCAGAAGAGTCCAGGAACAGACTTTTATTTTCGGGTGTGTGAGGGGGTGGGTGGGTGAAGATGGTGGTCAGGAAATGAATAAACATTAATTTTATCTCCATTTTGGATATTTGGTGGTTAAAACTACTTAAAATGTTGATTTTAAATAAAACATAAGACATTGATATTAATCTAATATTTTCCAGTTTTACTTGAAGTTAATCTTTACCAGTTGCAATACTATTACAGAACTTTTATGAAAATTCTAAAAATTAAACTTTTCTCTAAAGTTTAATACAGACTTTTGAGATTCTTCCACATGATTTATTTCCAAGGACTTTAGAAAAATATTTTTATACTTTTTAATGCTATGAATATTGTTCGCAGAAATTTATTTAGAAATTATAAATCATAAAATTAAATGAAAACTCATATGTTCCATGTTTTATTTAAATTTAGCACTGTTTCTAAAGAGAATTCTCCTAGTTGCCCTTAGGTTTTTTTTTTTAATTCTATTACAAAACCCCAGAAACTAACAAAAGAAATCTGTCACTCTTACAGTAATTTATAATATTCTCCAGGGAGAGAAATTTGCAAATAATTGCTGGAAGAGACAGCATGGTATAAGGAAAGAATATGGCTTTGCAGTTAGATATAACACAGTTTTCTAATCCTTTTTCCACTGATTTTGATCTATACCCCTAGACCTCTGATCCTAGGTTTTCTCTTATAAGTAATGGGGGATAAAAACCTACCTCCTAGATTTATCGTAAGAATTAAATGATACAATGTGTATAGTAAGTCCCAGACAGTTCCTGTCACATGGTACAAACTCAGTAAAAGCTAATTCCTTTCACCTATTTTAGACTTCAACCTCTTGAAAAATGTTCACAGATTACTCTGCTATTATATAATGCACATTTTATTCATAAAATATAAATAAGCCTGGATTGAAAGTAAGCTTATCATCTGAAAAATAGAAATTGGTGTGTGTTCAGTTCCTGTAACTATAAATAGTTCAATGAATGTGTTTAACATTTGAGATGCTTTAATTTGTCCTTTGTTTTCTTTTTTCTCCTACTCAGCTCTTGTTCCTGTTCTTTGCCTCTCGTTTTGTTGGGGAAGATATCACAGTGATGTCTGCATTCAACCTGCTGCATTTGGTGACAAAGAGCCAGCCAGTCGCCCTGCGAGCCTGTGGGCTTCCCTCAGGTTGCTGCTTATTGTACTGTACATAGTAAGGGCACTGGTCTGAGTGGGTATTTCTGCTGCAGGAAATGATACACTACTACATCTTGCTAAATTTTGTTTTCTTTTATTTGGGCCCCGATTTTAAGATGGAAATTGGTTATAAGTCACCACTCTAAGTAACATTCATTTCCACAATCCTTACAACCCTTGGAGACATTGTTCAATTTCCTTGCCCAGTGTATAATTGTCACTAATATTTCATGATATCTTCTGTTCTTTAGTGCACACTACACATCTGCAAATCATAATGTTCATAAGAGCCTGGCAGTTGTAGTAAGAAATTGCCCCAAATCACACAAAATAGGACATTCATCTTGGTAAAGGGTAATGAAAATGCTTTTCATTCCACATGTGGCCATTCCTTTATGAAAAAAAAGTAAAATGAACAACTTAAGCATAATTAAGTTACTTGTGTGTTAGAGTTAAAAAGAAAAGATGCCCTACCTAACAGTGATACATAAACAGAACTAATATAGAATGTGTCAGTCGGTTCATAAATTAGAACCATCACACTTTTATTTATTTATTTTTTTTGCAGCACCGGGGATCAAACTTAGGACCTTGCACTTACAAGGAGAACCATTATGCTTTTTAAAAATGTGATTTGTAAGCATTTAAAGAAGTGAACTGTGACATTCCAAAATTTCATGTGTACCTGTATCATAAGTTTAATGTTTAAATTATATTATGGTCAAATATTTTATTTCTATAAATATGATTATCAGTATTTTTACATTTCTATTAATGAACTTATCTCTATTACAATATTGGATGGAGCGGCCGGGGATTTAGTTCAGTGGTGTGCTGCCACCTGCCTCGCACAAAGATCCGAGTTATATCCCCAGTACCACAGAAAAACACAAAACAAAAACAGTATTGGCTGGAGAGTTTACTCATTAAGCATTTACTGATTTTGAACTATGAATGCCAGGCATTATGTTAAGCAGTGAGGATACAGTAACACAGAAAAAGGTAAAAGTGCTTTTTTTCAACAAGTACAAGGTAGAGATGGAACTGTGTAAAGATCTTTGAACCATGTAATGATGATATTAGACCAGGGTATTTTATGCCTGGAGTATTACGGGAATTCATAGGAAGTTGGGCCTGTCTTTTCTCTAGAAGAAGAAATCTTGGAAGAGAAGAAAGGTCTCTGAAGTTTAAGGAGGCCTCCCTGGAGGAGATGATACTTCAGCTGAATCTAATACCATGAGCATCAGTTAGCTCCCTGGCCCAGGACAGAGAAGAGCATTTTAACATATAGACTAGCTGGGCTGAAAAATGAGGACTTGAAAGAACAATTTGTGTTAAAAAAAAAAAAAGCAAGTTATTTACTTTAGGTAGCTTGGAGGGTGAGGGCAAGTGGAAGAGGTGAGGAAGGAAAGATAGCCAACTTATAAAATACCTTAGTGTTCTAAGGCATTAAAATCTTAGGAAGAAATGAAAGAATATGGCTTCATTTGCATTTAATGAACACTGTTGCTTTAGTATGCAGGAAGGTCAGTGCTGGTTTTCTAGAAGTTTGTATGAGAGTAGCTGAAATGACAATTAGAAGGGAGGGGGATAAGGCATCTCTCTTGAGTAGCAAATACACTTTTTTTAAAAAAAATTTTTATGTTTAGTTTTTGTAGCTTGAGGGGCTAATGTGACTACATTCATGAAAGCCCAACCATTGTTCTCCATGTTCTTCCTAGCCCTCACATGCCCTGCATAGACACCGTGTAGTATATTGGAGGGGTTTGAGGTTGGATGGTACCATGAAGATCTGAGAACCTTAGCAATGGTCACTACAGTAGGTTTGCAAAAATGGGGGGGATGGATTAGAAAGAGAGTCCACATGTAGAACTGATAAGGCTTATCTATCGCAGTTTATATGAGCTTGAGGAATTGCAATTGCTGTAGTCCTTGTGCCACATGGAACATTTTCTTGTGCATTATGTATGAGAGCTGGCCTAGGAAAGTTAGCTTATAGGGTGGCTGGAAATAATAGAATACTCCTAGCATAGTTCTTGTAACATGGGTTTGCTATACAAAGAAGCTAAGCTAACAATGTATTAAGAGTGTATTCTTGAGACATGACATTCATGGTACCAAAGTTTTTCATATGAAATTGTTTAAATGAAATATAAATATCTTAGCCAGGCATGATGATACACATTTGTTACCTCAGTATATAGGGAGGCTGAGGCAGGAATATCACAAATTTGAACTCAGCTTGGGCACCTTAGTAACTTAGCAAGACTCTGTCTCAAAATAAGAAAGGACTGCTAATAAAGCTCTGTGAAGGCCCTGAGTTCAATCGCTAAGTAAAACAATACTCTCTCTCTCTCTCTCTCTCTTAAAAAAAGTCTTTAAATTTTGGTAACAAAATGATCCCAAGATATATTCAACAAAGCTGATAGTTTTCACTTGGTTTGTAAAGAGGATATAAGAACAGTACCTACCTAAAAGGGTTGCTGAGAGAATGTAACTGATTGCAATGTGAAAAGTGCTCAGAACACTGACCGGCATAAAATGACTCATGTCTTCATTAGGTTTGCTATAGAAATCTATGTATCTGTATCCAAATAAATTTGTATTTTTCCAACAAAATAGACTTTCAGAAATATTTAAATATGTCCCATTTTTCATTTAACTACTTTTATTTTAATATGAACTATGAAACTCTTTCTGTTTGAGAAATAACCATCTCAATCTATTGTTTTGATTGCTTTATGTTACTTATACATCCTGCTGACCCAGAATTCAAGTCCTATAAATACATAACACATTTTTTATTTTATTCTTACTCTCCAGTACTGACGAAAACCCAGAGAAACTCTGTATTTTTTTTTACATAAGGCAGATAGGCCTATTTTAATATGGTAGATGAATTGTTAGAACATATTCCATCATTCCTTAGCCATTCATGTACCACTTAATTTTTAAAGTGTTGAGAGTCATTCTTCTAGTGCATACATATTTTACAACTTGATTATTAGCAAAATTTTTATCATTTATTTCTCTAACAGAATTATATGTATAAAAATGTTGAAGAAATTATGTTCAAAATACTGAGAAAAACTAAACTTTGAAATATAAAATGATCTTGAAATGAGAATCCTATTACTTTGTACAGGTAGGGAGAGAAGAAGCCAAAATTAGAGATACAGGAAATTAAGGTTAAAGTTTGAAGTCATGGTTAAATTTACTGTTCCCTGGTCAAAACCCATTACAACAGAAATATCTATAAATAAAAAAGATTTCTATTCCCAAGACAGTACCCTACTAATTTTGAGTATTAGGCAATATAAAATAATTCCAGAACAAAAAAAATTTGCAACAGGCTCTTAAAGTTGATTATAACTGGATTGACCTGAATGAAGGTCATATCCCAAAAGAATAATCTATCATTTTTTCAGTGTTGACTTCCTTTTCTTCCTATTTTTAATAAACCATAATTTAAATTTAGAGCTTATTAAGTGCATCTGAGTTATGGTTCACTCATGTTTGTCGTTAAGGTAATTTTTTCCTTTCAGAACTTCCTATAATTGTTTCTTTTAATTATTAAAAAGAACACTGAAATAGGAGTCAGAAAACTCTAACCATAGCTCTGTCATTAACTTGTGTGACCTTGACTAAATCAGTAAACCTCCCCAGATCTGTCTTGTCATCTTTAAAATGAAAAATTAAAATTTGATAATTATTAAATTCTGAATTCTGAAATTACTTGATTATATTAACTGCCATTTACTTTAACTTTTTGGCCTTAGGTTATTATGTCTTAAAACTCAGTACTAATTAATGATGCAAACTTACAGAAAAACGTTCTAGGTTGTAATGGTAGGATAGAAATATTTTCCACTTAAACATTAGAATTTCTGGCTTCTAAATTAAGACTAAACCATTGTCTTTGGAGGGATTAAGCAACACAGTTTTACTTATGGTTTTAGTGTTAGATGAAAATTCAATGAAATTGCAGCTTAGATTAGATATCATGGTAGTTTTTAGCCAAGTGAGGGTATTTGTCTAAATAGTACTAATTATAGCGAAAAAGTATACTTTTTCTAACCTCATGTACATAACAGTGTGGTTGTGACTCTGACTTAACTTCAGTGGCATATTTAACAATCTCCATGAATTGAAGAGCCACATGGATATTATGTAATTTGTAATAATATTATATTATAATATTCTAACGGATAAATTAGAAATCTTAAAAGAGGAATTTTGCAAGTGGAGTTTGAAAGTCATAGAACACATCTGTATAAGTAGAACTTTTATGAATTACAGCTTATGGCTCCAGAGTTTAGCACAGTGCCTGGCACTTAATAAATATTTGTTAAATGAATAAATGAACATTTAGAAAGTTTATATTAGGTGAACTCATAACTGTAACAGAGAATAAAAATTTACTTGAGATTCCTTTATATGGGAAGATTAAAAGTAAGGTTGATAGTTTAGTTGTCTGAATTTATTTTTAAAAGTTTCTCTTTTCTCACTTTATTGTATTAATACATTATAGTGGATGTCTTAGGTATAAATCACACTGTAGTTAAACATATAATAAAAAAGGGTTAACACAGATGCAGAATATATTATCCAGAAGTGCTCTTATATTTTTATTCTCAGTTTTGAGTTTTGGTAGTGGTATGTTAAGTGAGGAAGTGAATAAGTAACTTTTTTTTTTTTTTGAGGCAGGATGTCATTGGACAGTACAGGCTGGCTTTGAACTTGGTAAGTTGCCCAGGCTGGCCTTGAACTTGTGATTCTTTTGCTTCACCCTCCCAATGTGTGTCACCATGCCTGGCTCAGTGACTCAATAAGTACATCTTATATTTATCATAAAAATTAACTCTGAATTTTTGATAACTTTATATCAAGTTAGTATTGTTTTGCCCTTTAATTTTTTTCCATTAAAAAAATAGCACATGTATGTTTCAAAGCAACATCCATAAGCAAAAAATGCTTCCTCAAGTTTGGGCTGGCAATAGTTCACTATTTTTTTTGGTACTGGGGATTGAACTCGGGTCCTTGTGATTGCAAGGCAGGCCACCGAACCACTGAGCTAAATCCCTGGCCCAATAGTTCACTTTTAACAAGTGATGTTGCTATTAAAAAGTAACTAAACTTGTCAGTGTTCTGTTCACTTCCTGAATCGATTAATTATCTGTGTTAGTTTTTTGAAACCTTTTGGGCTATAAAAACATGGATCACTTCTATAGTTCTTTGATAAAAGCCATGACCAGCCTACCAGAAAAATACGTGTGTGTGAACCTAAGCATAATTTTTCAAATAATTTCAAGGTTCCTCTGAATTTTTTTCTTTGAATAGAGTTCAGAACTACTATCCTAACATATACATATGAATCTAATATAAAAACCAAGCAGAACATAGTATTTCTGATTTGTGTATTAGTATCACCAACAGAATTTTCTCTCATGTGTTCTAATGAAAGCCCTCAGGTTCTCCAGTTTCATCATTTTTATGCGTTCATCTTACCTAAATTCTTTGATTATTAAAAACGCCTTAGGGAGGATATTTTTGAAAGAAAACAGGGACAAATTCTAAAAACAGACTTACAGATTTTCAACTCAATTCACAAAATAATTTGTAGTTAGTTGATTGCGTGGTATCCACTTTTCCCAGTAGATGGCACTAGTTTTACATATTTTCACAGCATGGATACATGCTGATATTACATAGGTGCATTGTGAAAATTTAAAAGTATGTAAAGAGTATCAGTTAAGAACATATGGATCTGTGAACCACAGTTTCTCTGCTTATGTTCAAACAATATTTATAGAGTGAAATCCTTTTTTTCTATTTTCAATAGGATTCCAACTCCTTTTGCTTGGATATCCCATTGAAAATGTCTATTATGTGTAGACTTTCTATAAACTAAAACAAGTTTTCATAAATTAACTTATCTTGTATCCAAATAGCTTATTTAACAGTAATTTATAGTTTTATATGTAGCTAAATTTTCTGCAGCAGACCACCCAAGAATTAAGGAAAATTTTACATTTTGTTTTGCTATGTTTTGAATTTTTATAGAATCCTGAAAATGTTATTAGTTTAACATGTTGACTGTTAAGCATGTAATAGCATTTTTTCATAAATGAAAGTATTTTAGAAAACTAAAAAAAAAATACATTTAAAGTGTTGATTAAAGAATATGCTAATGTCACTATATTTTTTTCTAAAACAAAATGTTTTTGTAGCTTTATGATAGACTACAGTTTTAGTTAATGTTGAAAAGTTATTGTGCAGCATATAATTACCAGATGAGTTTTAAAAATTATTTATGGACAATGCATATTAGTCAATGCTTAGTTGTTATATCTGTATGTATAAGATGTTGGGCATATGGTTTATTAAATGTGGACTTCGTTAAGTTTTGGTTAAATATCCAATAAGTTATTAATATTATTCATTAATAATTATAAAACAAATAGCAATATCAAATAGCAATATGATTAAAATGAGCATGGAAAAAAATTAAATAAATCTTAATTTTGTTTGAGAAATACAGTAATTAATTAATAGTAATTGTATAGAGTATAAAACATGTTCCTAGCTCTGAAAACAGATAATTCTACAGAAGTAGAACATCTATCGAGTCTACAGTCCTCCTCTCTACCAACTGAGCTATTGAGGGGTGCATAGGAGTAGAACATCTAAACAACATAGACTTTGGAAATCAAATAAGTAGTTAGATATTTATCTAGACATGCTCACAATAATGTTGCTTAACAGATTATAGAAGGATTTATTAAAATGAGCTGACTTTTGCTTTCAGCACACACAAGTTTAATGAAGGAATGAGGCATGAGTTACTTTTCACAGATTTACCCATATTGAGTTAGATAGTATTTGATGAATTTTTATTATTCTTTCCTACTTTATAGCTTCAGCTTACATAAACATTTCACTTAGAGATTGAATTCCTTATGACTTATTTTGTTAAATATATTTCAATTTAAAGTTCTTTAAAATAAATTTATTGAGGTTTAATGGCAAATTATCTGTATTTATGTTTTGTGCCTTTGCATTTGAAATCAGTTTGAAAATTTAAAACTCTAATTTTATTTAAATTTCCTAGTTTTTCTTTTATACTAATATCTTTGCTCTTGTATTAATAATTTTAAAATGTTATAAAAATGTACCATAAATTGTGAAACTGTTAATTAATTGATTTATGAAAGCTATGCATTTATTTAGTTTAAATTTAATCAATAGCTTTTATGATAAGGATTCCTTAAACACTAAATATATTTATTATATTCACACATAATTACAAAGAATGGGATATTAATTTAAATGATTAGATTATTTAAATTTTAAGAAAAAATATTTAGACTTCTATAATTGTAGTTTTGTAAGTTTTTATTTCATTGTAGAAATGCACATTGGGTCAGAAAGATACAGTTATTCATATTATATTTCATTTGATTAATATTTTAATATAGTGTGTAATTTTATTGATGAAGAAATAGATTATAACATTATTCTATATACAGTATTTACTAGTTTCTGCCACCAACTTATTTTCTGGCCTCAGTAATTGCTGTGTCTCTTTTATTCCTATTTTTCATCTGTAAAGAGAATTATATAACAGTCTCATCAAATCTTTTCCAGTTAGAAATGACTCTCAGGTGTTACATTAGTTAAGATTTCTCCAAAACTTTGCCTCTGAAACCTTAATTCTTTGCTGTAAAATAGAAGAGATTGAAAAAAGGGTGTTGGAAGATTTACATGAAGTAAATCTAGGAAAGGCAATCAGGAAAAATCTCTTTCTATTTAGGACATTTGTGGTTTCTGCAAAGTAAGCTCCAGAAATGCCGAGACTCTTGTGTATTTAATTCATTGCTACATCTCTGCTAATCGCATTGGGTCTGTCACATATACATGTTCAGTAAATATTTGTGGAATGAACAAATGGCTGTGCATAAATAACATCATCAAAATAATGCTACATGTAAGTAATAGAACCTCTGTTTTTTAAGAAGTGTATATTCTGCTGAGAAAGATGGTCACTTTAGGTCTGCATGTTATTATCTTTAGGATGAAAGGGTTATGTATTCAATGGTTTCATGAGTCCATACAAATGCTTCCTTTTTTGTTTTACTATGGAGGCAGCAAATAGAAGTGAGAAGCACTGTGCTTCTTTCTGCCCCAAATTGCAGACTGACTTCTTGAGATGACTTCACATGATGACGGTTCTTCTGAAGGCTACTGAAGGAATGTTTATGTATGATTAGCAAGAAGTGGTGAGGGCGAGAGATGAGAAGATAGGGTTGAGAATGGGCTATGGTCACATAGCAATAGATAGGCATATTAAAGTACCAAGAAAGCATGGATTCAAGAGAGAAATATAATGAGTTAATGGAGGAAATATGCAGACAGGAGATCCTGGCTTGCATTAACCAGGTGTGTGACTATGTCAACTAAATTCTTTAGATCTTTATTTCTTTAGATATCCTGCTGGTTTTGGGGTAGAAGTTGTCCTTTCCCAAATCTTAATCTGAAGAACACTAGTTCTATGAATTACCCTGTAAAACAAACCTCTTCATCAAATTGAGAAGCTTCATATGATCCGTATTTCATCAACTCTTAGATATACCATCTTTATATTTTACTTTATGGGTAATTGAGATGTAGTTTAAAAATCATTGTGATAATAAGACTGCATCATAGTTTGGCAACTTTCCCCCTCTTTTCTAATGTAGCATAAAATAGTGGTGCATAAAATAACACATTTAAAAATGCACATCAATTTAAGAAAGTTTCTGAGAAGGTCTGCATCAAGAAGTACATATAAGCTAGTTTCCTCCTCTGATTCTACTATGGAATCCTTCCCTTCTTGTTCCCCAAGAGAAGCAAACTGTTAGCATTTTTTTTTTTCAGAGTCAGTGTTTTACAAAATACCATTTTTTTTTTTTTTCTGCAGTACTGAGGATTGAATTCAGGTCTTGTGCTGGCAAGGCAGGTGGTGAACATTTTTTTTTTTCAGAGTCAGTGTTTTACAAAATACCATTTTTTTTTTTTTCTGCAGTACTGAGGATTGAATTCAGGTCTTGTGCTGGCAAGGCAGGTGGTGATGCCACTGAGCTAAATCCCCAGCCCTACAAAATACTTTTTGGAGGAATACTGGAATAGGTAATCTCATGGTCTTAAGTTGAGAGAATTAATGAGATATTTGTCATAATAAACATATTTGGTTCTGGATTTCTGGAGAGGTAATAAAGGACTGAAAAATATTTTTTATCATTTTTTATTTCACTGATTTATTAAGCAAATATTGTTACAGATTTTTATGTTAAGTTCTAAGAAACACAACTAAAGGCTAGGAAACATCTTTTAAGCAGATTTAAATAGCAATAATGAAAACCTACAGTTGAATAAATAAACACAATGTATACATTTTGACCCTTTCCTTTGCCTAGGCATATTGCTGGGTGTTAGGAATGCAACGATGGGTTGAATATATATGAGCACTGTCCCTCGAGGAGACACTGAATAATTCAGGGGAAGCCTTATGCTTTTTCTTGAGTTATCAGGATGAAAAGAAAAAGTGTAAACATTTTGACTGTTTTTTTCCCTCCAGAATCTCTCAGGTTTTTCTGGAATGTATAGACTCAGATTTATTGAGTAGCACATGCAGACTTTTTTGTTTTCCACTGTGCTAGATTTGAAATTTGATGTGGGCCACAGTATAATTTTGGAAATTAGCA